TGGCCCAAGAAGGCATAATCTCTTTATTTATTTATTTATTTATTATATTTTAAGTTCTGGGGTACATGTGCAGATCATACAAGTTTGTTACATAGGTGTACATGTGCCATGGCAGTGGTTTGCTGCATTCTTCACCCCATCCTCTACATTAGGTATTTCTCCTAATGCTACCCCTTCCCAATCACCTCACCCCCTGCTATTCCTCCCCTAACTCCCCACCTCCCAGGCCCCAGTATGTGATGTTCCCCTCCCTGTGTCCATGTGTTCTCATTGTTCAACACCCACTTATGAGTGAGAACATGCAGTGTTTGGTTTTCTGTTCTTGTGTCAGTTTGCTGAGAATGATGGTTTCCAACTTCATCCATGTCCCTGCAATGGACATGAGCTCATCCTTTTTTATGGCTATATAGTATTCCATGGTGTTAGCTGTGCCACATTTTCTTTATCCAGTCTATCTTTGATGGGCATTTGTGTCAGTTCCATCTCTAAGGGACCTGAAGAACCCTAGTAACAACTTTAGAAATATTTATCACCCTCTACAAAGCTGATAGGCAGAATAAGACAGGAAGACTCATGTAGGTGTTGTGTCTGGCCATTATGGCTCCATGGTAGGGATCCATCATTCTTCTCCTGCCATATTGCCATTTCCCTTATTTGTGTTTTCAACTCAATACCCCTATCCCTTTACACATTCTCTCTGGTTAAACTCAACCACTTAGCAGTTTCAGCTACAGTCTCTATGTGGACTCTAATGAACATATTCTCCCTCCCTATTCTCTATCTCTCTCCTGAGCTTCATGTCCATTTCCCAATGGTACTGAACTACATATCTTTTTTTTGAGATGGAGTCTCGCTCTGTCACCCAGGCTGGAGTGTAGTGGTGCTATCTCAGCTCACTGCAATCTCCGCCTCCAGGGTTCAAGCAATCCTCTTCCCTCAGCCTCCTAAGTAGCTGGGATTACAGTCATGCCCACCACCACACCTGGCTAATTTTTTGTATTTTTAGTAGAGATGGGGTTTCACCATGTTGCCCAATCAAACTCTTGAGCTCAAGTGATCCACCTGCCTTGGCCTCCCAAAGTGCTGGGATTACAGGCATAAGCCACCATGCCCGGCCCTCTTGAACATTTTTATTTGGATATAATATAGAAAAATCAAACCCTGCAGACCCAAAATCAAGCTCCAAGTTATCCTCTATTCTTATTCCTCTTCCTGTAATTCCTATCATCTGCTGGTTAATATCCATATCTATTATGTTCAAAGTTTAGGAATCAGCTTTTGTTATCTTCCACCATCCATATCCAATCAATCAACAACATCATGTTTACGGCAATTCTATTACACCTATTTAATATTTTATGAAGTTCATTCTCTTCTCAAACTTTATTATCTCTGCTCTAACTGAGGCTCATCTTTTGCTTGGATTATTCTAAGCTTTTCCTACCTGTCCTGATTTTAGACATGCCCTGCTCAAATAAATCTTCCTAAAAATTACCAGAGTGATCTATCTAAAATTGAAATTGAAATACATCTCTTCCCTTTATAATGGCTACCACTTAACACTGATTTCTGATTAGCCACAATAGACATAAAAAGGCAGTGGGAAAATGGTAAGGAAAAAGTATTACTACCTGAGAATCTTATACATGGTTAAATGGTCTATCAAAAGTGAGGGAAAAAAATAAAGACTCTTTCAGATATGCACTGACTAAGAGAGATCCAAACTCTAAATGAATTACTAAAGACTTATTTCAGCAAGAAGAAAAATGGAGCCAGAATGAAGACATGCTATCTTAAAAATATAATGAAGCACATATGTGTCACTAAATTAATTTACCATTAAGATGGAAAAATGCTAACTGTTGGGTTTAATAAAAAAGTGAAACTGAAACTATAGCCAACAATAGCAATAGGAAGAGGAAGCGTTTTTAATGGATGAGGCATCCTTGCCACATCCAAGAAAATATGGAATGAACTTAGAATTTTAAAGATGTTTTATACGTAAATATGTAAGTGAGAAATTAAGGACAGCATTTAAAGTAATGAATAAAATCTGTAGATTATAGAGACAGAAAAGCATAAACAAATTTTCTAAAAGCAAAGAAATAGGATAGTAAACTTAAAGTGCAAAATTAGATGTCATCAGCAAGTACAAATACAACATTTAGAGTAATTTCCAAAACTTTAAACTTACCTATTTAAATAGCACATATTATCTACTTGTCTTTTCTTCTATTTTTAATTGGTATATGTTAGTTGTACATATTTTGGAAGTACATGTGATATTTTGATACCTCTCTACAACAGCTAATGATCAAATTGGAATATTAAGGATATCCATCAACTCAACAATTAATCTTTTTTCTGCGTTATGAATATTACAAATCTGATATTCTAGCTATTTTGAAACGCACTATAAAGTATTGCTAACTATAATTTTCCTACTGTTCTACCAAATACTAATATTTATTCCTTCTATCTAAAACTATATTTGTTTACCCCTTAACTTGTCTTGAATACAAAATAAAATCCAGATTTATGCTACTGATAAATGCCCAAACTGTACTACAGATAAATGTTACAATTTAAAAATAAAGCATAGCATGATAATGTATGCCATGTAAATATTAAATAAAAAATCATTCAGGTGGGTAGTATTCATATCAGATGAAATAGAATATAAATTCAAAAGTATTATTAGACAAACAGAAGAAGAAAAGAATTATGGCATCCTCCAAACTATAACAATTATAAACTTGTATGCACTTAACAGATTTAAATAATTTTCTCTGATCTGCATATTGTAGATTTATCTACCTGAAGAAAATAATTTATCTACCCTGAAGAAAATCATGGAAAATAAACAATCAGTGGGGAACTTGAATGAAGGAAAATGTGTCAGTTATATACTGAAAAAATGAATGAAAAGATAGAAAGCAAGACTAATAAAGAAAAACAATGATGACTAGTATTAATAATCAACACTAGGAATGACAAGAAAAATATATAATATAATAAATAGAGTTAATGGTATTTCAAAGTTATAGTAATAGTTTTGTGTATTTTCTTATAGATACATAAAAATATCTATTCAGTTATACACAAAAAACATCAGTTTCTTTCAGGGAGAAGAACTAGGTTGCTAGGGAGCAGCGAAAGGCAGGTTTTCTTTTGAACAATGAGAATATATCACTTGCTCAATAAAACTTTAACAAAAGAAAATAAATTTTAAAATTTAAAAGATAATATATTATGACCAAATTAACTCAATTAGTTTTTAATGAATTAAATATAAAATGATGAAATAAGTAACAATCAAAAATTGAATCAGAAAATAAGTGTCCCCTACCACTCACCTAAAAACAACAACAACAGCAACAAAGCCCTAGAACTCTTACAGATCAATGAGGGAAAAAACGGCCCAAAGGAAAAGTGGACAAAGTATAGGAACACGCAATTCACACAAGATAAAATCCAAAGGGTCAACAGAAATATACATAGTTTTAAAAGTGCTCTAACATACTTGCATCCAGAAAACTCCTAATTAAAATAAAGAGATATTATTGCATACCAATTGAATTGGCAAAACTTTAAAAATCTGACAGTAACAAGGGTTGACAGAATGCGGGCCAAAGCAACTCTCTTACACAACTGTTAGGACGGTAAATTGACACACTACTAGGGATGGGAGTGTCACTAGTCTATACATTAAGAAACTGTGTGCACTGTGATTCAGCCATTCCTTTCAGGGTTATACAGACTCTAGTGAAACTCCCACCCATATGCACAAGCAGCCCATGTTCAAGAATGGTCATTGTAGCTTCTTTGTTTGCAATAGAGTATAAGTGGAAACAACTATAACAAAAATAAATAAATTTTGTTATAATCATGCAAAGGAATTTAATATGGCAATAAAATCAGGAATTTAGAAATAGACAATAGATATAGTTAAATATCAAAGACAATGTTGAGAGAAAATAAAAATTGCAGAAGTAGATGTGAAATGTGATACATTTACATAAAGTTTAAAAACAAAAGATATTTATTGTTAGTGATTCTGTATAGATGTAGAAAATGTTTTAAGATATACATGTAAATGATCAAACACAAATCTGAGAAGGCCAGGAACAGAATTAGGGAGCAGTTCACAGAGAGCATTAATCACGGGTAAATGTTATTTTTTGAAAGAAAAAATGGGAAGTAATACGATAAAATAGTAAAAATCAGCAAAGCTGGGTACTGGTATTTGTTATGCTATTTTCTGTATAAGATGTTTAAAATATTTAATAATTTCTAAAATAAAGATGAGTTATTTATTACAAGACTTCTTATCACTGGTAATGCTTGTAGCATTAGTACAATTCTGGTAGTACTATTAGTTACTACCATTATTATAATTAATACCAATTCATCAACTACTATTTTAACTGATACCAATATTTACTGCTAGAGGATACATCCTGTTAAAGAAGCTTGTGAATCTTTTGGTAAATGCAACAATCCTTTTATAAAAAGGATAATAATCTCTAATAGCACATCTATTCTGTAAGTTGGAATTTTTGCAGATTGAACACTTCAAAAAACTTTATTTGCTTATTTACTGCCTGATTAAACCAGTCTTTGAAAACAAAGGCCAATAAAATAAACTATATTAATTGACAACATTTTTCTGAAAATATTTTATCTTTCATAGCCAGTTTTTGGTTACCAGTCTTGTGAGCATGCAAGAAAGACTGAAATCTAAAAATAAGAACCAACAGAAGCAAAGTATGTCCCCTTTACAACAACAAATAAACTTTCAAAGCAGTAAGGTCATAGAAAAAGACTTGTTTCAATGACGTTATTTTATATTTACATATTTAATAGACAGTGTGATATAAAAACCAATATTCTACCATATTTAAAAAGAATGAATATTTCTTATATTCAGAATATAATTTATATAACACAACTTGAAATACTAGCAATGGAATGCTGGGAAAAAAAAAAAGTCAACCAACCCTGAGAAGAATGTACTGAGGATTTATCTTCTTCCTCATCCACTGATGCATAGGAGTTCTTCTCTGCTTCTTTTTTTGAAAGGCCAGCTGTATTATCCACTCCTGATTCTGCTTTCTCTCCTTTAGCCATTAGACAAACTGGAAATCCAGGGGAAAGTCAAGTATTGCTTTCATGATTTTTTTGACCATCAAAATGCAAAGGAAGCTTGATGACCTATTAAGAGATCAATCTGTTACCTAAATTGTTGAAACTATTACATAGTTAGTTTTCATCTAAAACAATGAGACAATTTGAAATAGCTAAAAAGTCAATAATAAATTTAGTTTTCCAAACCTTATATGCTTCTTTTTGGTTACATTACAAAGAATGCAAATTTTTTTGTATTAACAAATTTACACAATTGCTTCAGATAGTGCCATTTGTTTTGTATGTATTAGTTTCTCCTTTATTTCAATTTATAATTTTTAAAATTTCTTCTTCCAAATAACACTATCTAACGCTCATGCTGGGAGGAAATCAGCAAATATTCATTCACTGTTTAATATCTCCAAGAAATAATATTTTAAGTTCAACAAGAAATGACAAGATTGTAGAACCTAGCAGTGAATGAGTGCTCATTATACAATTTTTTCAACTTTTCTCTATGTTTAAAATTTTAATAGTAAAAGTGCTTGGAGAAAATAATGACACAAGAAATGAAATATTCAGAAAAGTGAGGAATTGATAGAAAAAGTTTTCCTGGGAAAGAGTGACAGGCTTATTTTTTCTGGCATAATTTTCCCTGTTGCATCCTTACACACATACTGGGGGGACTCAGAGCTGTAGGCCAGCCTCCTCTGGGATGCTCAGGGCTATTAGTCCAAGTACTGTCCCTAAGGGCACCATGAGAGAACACGTGAGGTCATGGCTAAGCCACATGCCCTGGCTCAGCCAGTTCCTCTTTGACAGTGGCAGTTCCTTCACACTGACTGAGCCAGGAGAGACACGTTCTGGTTTCACCTGGACTGACTTGTTTCCTTTTTCTCTTCTAACAGGGCATTGCAAAAAATACTTTTCTGTTCCATCATCTGCATTACCTCTCTTTGCTCTTCCCAATCCAGCTTGTTCTTTTTTCAGTAAATCCAGGATTAACTTGTTCAAAAATGTGTGTTTGCATTTAAGAAAATTCATATTGGAAAAATCCACATATTTTAGAATGTCACATAAGAGGAAAATGGTATTTCCAGAAAATAAGCTTTTTGTTTTTGTCGTTATGACAGAGAAGCATCTACATGCCTACTTATTCTGCCTATAATCAGAAAATCATGCATCTCGTATGTTGCTATTCTCATTAATAAGACTTGCTTCCTCATGAAATGTTCAGAGGGAGAAAATTATTTTTATTATCTATCAAATAAGAATGTTAGTGGACAATTACATCCATCTCTAATGGATAATGCCAGCTGGGCTCTGCAGATAAATTGTAATATTTCTTTTTTTTTCCTCTACAAAGTATTTTTAATAGAAAATCAGGAAAAATGAGAAAAATTTTAGTAATATGTTCAAATTCAAGTAGATTTTTCTCAAAATAAATTATTCTAATGCTGCTATAAACTACCCACTTTTCTTGACCTTGCAAATTTTAAACACTGCTTCTAATTTAACCTCAAATATAAATGGTTTTTATGATAAATAATAGTACTACATAAATTGTCTTTTATAAAACAAAGCTGGTTCTGACTTTCCATCCCATAATTTATAGAACACTGAATTTTTGAATAGTTAGTGAAAAGTTAGTTCATAATTATAGATGTCTTCCACATTAGCTAGACCAAAATTTACTTTATTTATTTATTTATTTATTTTGAGACGAGGTTTCCCTCTTGTTGCCAAGCTGGAGTGCAATGGCGTGATCTCAGCTCACTGCAACCTCCAATTCCTGGGTTCAAGTGATTCTCCTGCCTCAGCCTCCCTGGTAGCTGGGATTACAAGCACCTGCCACCTTGCCCAGCTAATTTTTGTATTTTTAGTAGAGACAGGGTTTCACTATGTTGGCCAGGCTGATCTTGAACTCCTGACCTCAGGTGATCCATCCACCTCAGCCTCCCAAAGTGCTGGGATTACAGGCGTGAGCCACCGGACCCCACCCAAAATTTTCTTTCTTATGGCTATATTTATTTTGACTCTTGGTATAGAATCAAATCACCAATTTCTAAAATATTTTCTTAGGGATTTTCTATAGTTATCTTCAACCTTTAGATAATTTTTCAATAACCTTTTTATATTCATTTATAATAGTTTTCCTTTTCAAGTTTATTTATATCAGTGTTTCTGATTCTTAGAAGTTTTTAAAAACTTCTGATGCCTAACACCTCACCACGAAACAACTAAATCAAAGTCTCTGAGACGAGAACCCAGACAATAGTGTTTCTAAAACTTCCCACAGAATTCTAGTGTGCAATCAGATTTATCTTAGGATGACACTTTCCAGAATGAATAGACAGGCACATATTCATATGATCGTCATTTTATTAATAGCATACCTATGCTGCCCCAAGACGATATTTTAGCAAAACATTATAATGGAATTAGATAAGAAAAAAATGCCAGGTAATTCTACTCAAAGCAAATAAGAAGCAGGAAGACCATTATACAAGAATATATAGCTGCTGATTTTAAGGATGAAATTGCATGTGCTTCCTGGGAACACCCAATTTAATAGTTCTATCAAGTAGGCAAGTAGATAGGTAGGTAGACAGACAGACAGACAGATACACAGATACATAGATATGAAGAAAACATCAAACATGAAGGTAAAGAACAATCTATGGCATTATATGACACAAACAACCTGGAAAACCATCAGAATCAGGAAAAATAAGTTTGGGTACATAGGACGCACTACAAATATGCTGAAATGCTTATCCTTTTTGCATCCCTAGAGCAGGCAACACCCAACACACAATAGAAGCTCAGTAAACACTTTTTTTTTTTTTTTTTTTTTGAGACAGAGTCTCACTCTGTTGCTCAGGCTGGAGTGCAGTGACACAATCTCAGCTCACTGCAAACTCTGCCTCCTGGGTTCAAGCGATTCTCCTGCCTATGCCTTTTAAATAGCTGAGACTCCGGGTGCGCGCCAGCACGCCTGGCTAGTTTTTGTATTTTTTTTAGTAGAGAAGGGGTTTCACCATGTTGGTCAGGTTGGTTTTGAACTCCTGGCCTCAAGTGATCCGCCTTGATAAGGAAATTTACCAGAGCTCCATTCCCATATTCATGAGATGAAGCTGCACCCTCCACCCTAGCAGTGATAGATTGTGAACTGAGACTTGGGTGGCAGCTCTGGCTCATTCACAATAGAAGATTTTATTAAATGATCTTCAAATTTCCCACTAATTCTGTAATTTTATCCCTTGTTTCTAAATATCTGTTTAATCTGCATTATCAGAAATCAGCATTAAGGTGTAATAACTTTTACCATTCTATGATACTTATTAAATTTTCCAATGATATGAAAGGAAGCTAAAGGCTGGAAAGAAGCAGCTTTAGAAAACATTTTAATTCCTTGCCACTTTAAAAAATCACACCACAAACCTGAAAATAGAGATTGTACAGTCAGTTGTCCAAGTCCAGACAAATCAAATCTTCAATTTTCCTGAAGTTGCTAAGCTTCTGGTCATAATGTTCTCGGAGAAGGGGACACTTGAATTTTCCCTCCACTATATCAAAGTTGTTGTCACACAAAGGGAACACTGCCCAGCCCACAACCCGGTCCACGCAAGCGTACGTTCCACGAAGGAGGAAGAGTTCAAACAAGAAAGCCATGCCAGGTTTCACAGTTTCTTTTTGAGGGAGCACCTATGAAAAATATTAAGACAAGAGAAGATTGGGACGCTTTTGGTTTTAGAAACACGTTACATTCAGTGATGCCTGTAGACAATTTAGAATTAAGTAAAACATTGCTCTATACTCCTGTTGTTTGCCCTTGAAAACTCACCATTGGATGTATTTACATAAACAATTCTTTCAGCCCCAGGTAAGTCAGCAACCATGAAAATGTGACTGACACAAATTTGACCCTGCCAGTTCAAGATTCTAAACTTTATATGCTTTAGAAATCAAGTTTGTAACATGCTAACTCACATAGTAGTCTGTGTTTTCATTCCTCTTTGATGGAGCTGGCACCTCTACTGTATAACTATTCCTATCTTCCATCATAGTCATTGTTTTGAACGCCTGCCATTCATTTTTGTATCATTCACTTACCCAGCACATCTGCATTGCACAGAACAAATGCTTTTTAAAAAGCAGTTAAACAAATTACTGCAAATTATCCTACCCATAATGATAACTTGAATTATTATTGCAAAGTCCACCTCTTGAAGAAAAAGTGAAGTCCCATTTAATTTTGTGATTTTTTTCTGTTTATTTCAGTTGACACAATAATACACATGCTGTATAAGCAAGTTGTCAGTGCTAAATAAATAGCACTGAGTGTAAAGATGGGTGAAATAATCAGAATGACCAAGCCCTGTTCAAGTCCCCAGACATAGAGATGGAACCTATTCCACAGCCTTAAAAAACTTTTTTAAAGAAATGCAAGATGTCAATAATCTTTTTAAAAAAATAGATTAGAGCCTTGGATTTCTTTTTAAAATTTTGTGTGGATAATTATAAATAGACAAAGATCGGGACTTAGACTATTTTTAAACTTAGACAATTTTAAACCAAAAGTGTGTAGGTATATTGTATACGATTTGTGTAAATATTCTAAGACTTAGTTTAGGTACAAAATGAAACAGAGGCATCTGTTGAAAAATGTCATAACCCTGTGGCAGCTGCTATTAAACCATTAACAGGATCAGGTTTTATTTAAATAAGATTTACCATTTTTTAACAACAGCCTATGGAAAAGCTAAAAACATTAGGTACAAATTACTGACAAAAGAGATCCTTAATCAGGCTGTACTTTTCATTTGGCTAGCTGGCTATGAGTAACCTCTGTGATAAGAAAACAAAAGTTAAATGAGGAGAAGGGGAAGAAATGGAGTGAGAATCCTGTTTTGGCCGTCATTTAAAAATCAAGTTGAACTGATGCTGTTGACAATAATTTCATCTGTTTTTAGCCCTGCATTTAGAAGTGAAAACTAGAGCCCCTGTT